ATTTTGATTTTTCTCAGTAGTATATGAAGCACTTGCAAAGCTGAGGAAAGATGTCTCCTTACAGGCTATAAAACAGCTATGATCCAGTTAAGACTTTTTGGGGCTTTTATCAGTATTGAAAAGTAGGACAAGGAACCTTCCTTTAATCACCTCCCTATTCCCCATTTTTACTGTTCAATGCCCTTCTAAGGGATATTGCACTGGAGTTAAAAATCTCCACTTGGTGATAAACATACTTTTGAAAACATCAGTCTCATCAGTCATCCGTATTTGCTCTTCAACCATAGTTGATTTTATTGGAGACATCCTGCTTAAAATCAGCTTGAAAATTTAAGGTTTCATTGAAAGAGAGCTAAAATGAAGAAAGAATGAAGCAAACAGTAAAAGAGATGTTTCTCAGCTTAGGTCAATCTGCCTCTCTAACCGTCTATATTTTCCTTTATCTATCTTTTCCCCTCCCCAATTTATTTTTTTGTATCTTTTACTGAGTAAACAATTTTTGATATAGCTTAAATACTGGGATTAAAATAAATAAGCAGTGAAAAGTGTGATCTGGATTAACTAGCAGTAATGTTTAATGATTTTTTTCATTATGTGTGATAAAATGTGTATTTCTGCTGGGCGCAGTGGCTCACACCTATAATCCCAGAACTATGGGAGGCCAAGGTGGCAGATCACTTAAGGTCAGAAGTTTCAGACAAGCCCAGACAACCTGGTGAAACCTAGTCTCTACTAAAAATACAATAATCAGCCAGGCATGGTGGTGTGTGCCTGTAATCCCAGTTACTTGGGAGGCTGAGGCAGGATAATTGCTTGAACCCAGGAGGTGGAGGTTGCAGTGAGCCAAGATTGTGCCACTGCACTTCAGCCTGGGTGATAGAGCAAGACTCTGTCTCAAAAATGTATACTTTACATCAGGAAATTAATTTTTTACTCTTATTCAAAACAGGAACTTATTACGAAAGGGAAAGAAGTAGGGTTTTCCATTATTAAGGAGAAGGGTAACAGAGAGAAACAGGGAGTTAGAGAAAAACAGAAAGCAAGATTCAAGATTTTAAATCTAGAAGCAATTCCTGGATTAATAGATTAATAGTTAATAGATTAATAAATACAAATATATATTATTTGTGTTTAATTTTCTCCAGTGCATTTTTCAAAGTATACTGGAGAAAATTAAACACAAATAATCTATATTTGAATAAATTTGGAAATTACATTAGCAGAAACTGAGGAAATCTACCAAGAGTACTAATAGCCACGAAATATAAATGATCATCCCAGCACAAAGTAGCTAGGGACAAGAGTGGGATGACATCTAATAAAGCTTAGAAATAAACACAAAATGCTATTTTTGATTGCTGAGATAAAGGACAAACTTAGGCAGAACTGAACATTGATATCAGAACTACAAAATACAATTGTATATAAATGTGCTTAATATGTAAGGAGCTTTACAGAATTATTATTTCAGAGGTTATGGTTATTTTAGATACATATTTTCATGTAAGAAATCCTGGCAGGTTTTTTTTTTAATGCTTGGATAACCTTGTCTGAGCAAATTCATTCCTGGTGTTCAAATCTTATCTTGCTTTTATGCGCTTTGCTAATTTGATCTTATGGTACCACCTCCAAGTCCAGCCTTGTAATTTTGCTTCCTGCTTTCCATCTGCATTTTTGTACTCTGACTCCAGAAGCCAAACTGCCTCTGATGTCAGGAATGAGTAAAAAATGTGAAGGAGTCCAAGAAAAAGTTATGATTAATCCAAAAATGATTTTACATACATTAGAACATAATATGTGGAATTAGTCAAAGCTTAGCTTACATTCTGTTTTTCTCTTAAAAAACAAAGGCGATTTTGGAGCTTAGATCGCTTATCTTGAAAGTAGTTCCCTACAAGAGGCTCAAGGTTCATGAAGTCCTTCATTCCCTGCAGTTGGTTTCTTGGTCTCTTGAATTTCCCATGTGTAACCCATCTTCAGTTGTGATTCATGAAGCTATTTGGCAAATGCCACAGCCAATGCAAACTTTTGTAAAAAAATGAGATTTTTTGAAAGTTTAGTGTAAGATAAAATGGCAGTTAACTTGCAGTTTGAAGATATGTCACAAGAAAATATGCTTATCAGTTTTGCAAATCTCTTTAATGTCTGGCTTAACAAAGCAGTTGGATTTGCTTTATAGTTTTGCAAATCTCTTTAATATCTGGTTTAACAAAGCAGTTGGATTTTTATATTTGTGTCTGCATTCAGTCTACTACAATAACATGTCATGGAGGTTCATGGAAAATTCCACTGTACACTGATAAAACAATGAGAGTAATAAAAGACAAATAATGTATTCATATGATTATGAAAGTATTTTAAATTATACTTTATTAAAATATTCATGATCAATTAAAGAATTCATTATGTATATTACAAAATTAGTCCAGCTTGTCCTATCACATCCACATCACTACATTTATATATTTATGTTTGTTGGGAATCCTAGATTTGATTTGTATACAGCTATTCAGAGCAAAATATAAAAACTGATCATTTCTGGGTGCTGGATTATATGGTATTAGTTTGATATCACCCATAATCCTTTCTATATTCTCTGTTTAGAAGGGGAGCAAGTTTGAATTCTCTTTCCTGTAATGTGTTTCTGCTTTTGTCTTAATAAAGGGTTTTCATTCGTTGGGGTAGTTGCAAGCAGGTGCACAGGCAAATAACAGAAGCTTATGGTGGCTTCTGGGTGAACTCCTGAGAATCAGCCACACAGTGCTGCAGGCAGTTGAAATTGCCATCATGGTACCCTTTTACTCCTGAGCTTTCATCTGCAGCAACTCCCAGGAAAGGTCCTATAAGTCACTCATTTCTAGCAGTGACTTTTTTGACTTTCATTGCTTAAGAAAGTATCGAATTCCACATGTAAGAACCCTTTCTGCTTGGAATACTTAGAGTAGCTGCTTTATTTGATATACACAGCTCAGTTCTTCTGGGAAAATCATTCAAGTAGCATAAAATTGGTAGTTTCTTTGTTTTCTTCACACTGAAAAGACGTGGTTAAGCAATAATATATACAATAGTTATTGTGTAACTATTTTCTTTTTAGAATACATTTATATTATAAAGAGATAAAATAGAAATTTAAGAGAAATATGTGGCTATTTGGAAATAAAGAATTACAGGTGCTAAGCCATTAGAAAGGAAGGAGCTCTGTTACAAAGAGCTTTGCTAAAGATTGCTCATAGTTAATAGAAGGGCGGGGACTGGAAAGCCCCATAGCAACACTCTCTCCACAATTCCCAGATGTAGAATGCCCTTTTCTTTAAAGAGAAAATAAATAATAATTAAATAACATCTAATGAAGTAAGATGAAGTGAGATGAAGTCTCACTCTGTTGCCCAGTCTGGAGTGTAGTGGCATGATCTTGGCTCACTGCAACCTCTGCTTCCTGGGTTCAAGCGATTCTCCCACCTCGGTCTCCAGAGTAGCTGGGATTACAGGTGCCTGCCACCATACCTGGCTAATTTTTGTATATTTTAGTAGAGATGGTGTTTCACACTGTTGGCCAGGCTGGTCTCCAACTCCGGGCCTCAAGTGATCTGTCCCCTTTGGCCTCCCAAAGTGCTGGGATTACAGGCATGAGCCGTGATGCCTAGCCCCTGCTAGATTATTAAACAACTTTCAGATTGATGCTTTGGTCAATCTTCTAAAATATATGTCAGTACTACTTTTGTTTAAATAAATATATTCCTAATTTACTTTCTAAATAGCATACTCTATGCTCCAATTCCTCTCATTTTGACTTCAGGGTTACATATTTTAATCACCAATTTCTCCCTGCGATTTATATAGGTGATTAGAGTTGGGGAGAGCTCGTAGGTGGTAATTAACTATGTGGATCTAGTACTTGCTTTTCATTTCTGACACCCATTAAGGGTACCACAAAACTTCAGCTTCAGAGTAAGTTAAATTTTGTTAAAATTAATTTTATTGAGGTCTAACTTATATACAATAAAATTCACACCATTTAAGTGAACACTTAATGAGTTCGGCAAGCTCCATATCCATGTAACCACCTGCCAGTAAAGTTGTAGAACATTGCTATCTACCCAGAAAGTTTCCTCATGCTCCTCCTTTGTAGTCAATCTTTCTCCATCCCCTTCCCCAGGCAAACAGTAACCTGATTTCTATTGATATGGATTGTTTTCCTACAATCAATACAAATCATACCATATGTATTCTTTTTCATTATCATTGCAGCTGTGAGATTCATCTGTGTTGTTGCATGTACCAATAGTTTGTTGTTTTATACTGCTGAGTAGTATTTGCTGTCTGAATATGCCACAGATTTATCTATTTACCTCTGATACTTTGTTTACAGTGTTGTTGTTGTTGTTGTTTTTGCTATTAGAATTAAGGCTGCCATAAACATTTGTATACAGGTCTTTGGAATGATAGATGCTTTCATTTATTGAGTAAATATGTAGGAGTAAAATTTCTGGGTCATATGATAACTGTGTGTTTAACTTTTTAAGAAACTGCTAAACTATTTTTCTAAAGGAACCACAGAATTTTACATTTCATCATTTGCATTCTTAAAAGTTGTGTGTGTCTGAGATAAAAACATATTTTAACTTCCTCAGAAACCCCTGTTTCTTCTTCTTCTTTCCCTCAGTACCTGACAACTCAATGTCAATGTCTAAAGAAATGCAGAAAGTTTGGAAATAGTAAGTTTTTAGACTTGGGAATTGTGGTGTGAAGGAGTAAAGGAGATCCTTTAGCCTCAATCTTTTTTTTTAAATTTTTTTTTGAATCTATCTTTCTTTATATATATAAAACTGTACTTTAGGTTCTGGGGTACACGTGCAGATCATGCAGGATTGTTGCATAGGTACATACATGGCAATGCGGTTTGCTGCATCCACCCTCCTGTCACCTATATCTGGCATTTTCCCCCATGTTACTGCACCCAACCTCACTACCCCCCCAATCCCCCCCAACAGACCCCAGTATGTGATGCTCCCCTCCCTGTGTCCATGTGTTCTCATTGTTCAACACCCGCCTGTGAGTGAGAACATGCAGCGTTTGATTTTCTGTTCTTGTGTCAATTTGCTGAGAATGATGGTTTCCAGATTCATCCATGTCCCTATAAAGGACACAAACTCATCATTTTTTATGGCTGCATAGTATTCCATGGTGTATATATGCCACATTTTCCTTGTCCAGTCTGTCATCAATGGGCATTGGGTTGGTTCCAGGTCTTTGCTATTGTAAACAGTGCCGCAGTGAACATACATGTGCTTGTGTCTTTGTAACAGAACAATGTATAATCCTTTGGACATATACCCAGTAATGGGATTTCTGGGTCAAATGGAATTTCTATTCCTAGGTCCTTGAGGAACCACCCCACTGTCTTCCACAATGATTGAACTAATTTACACTCCCACCAATAGTGTAAAGTGTTCCTATTTCTCCACATCCTCTCCAGCATCTGTTGTCTCAGATTTTTTAATGATCACCATTCTAACTGGTGTGAGATGGTATTTCAATGTGGTTTTGATTTGCATTTCTCTAATGGCCAGTGATGATGAGCATTTTTTCATCTGTTTGTTGGCCTCATATATGTCCTCTTTTGAAAGGTGTCTGTTCATGTCCTTCACCCACTTTTGAATGGGGTTGTTTTTTTCTTGTAAATCTGTTTTAGTTCTTTGTGATTCTAGATATTAGCCCTTTGTCAGATGGGTAGATTGCAAAAATGTTTTCCCATTCTATTGGTTGCCAGTTCACGCTAATGATTGTTTCTTTTGCTGTACAAAAGCTCTAGAGTTTAATTAGATCCCATTTGTCTATTTTGGCTTTTGTTGCCAATGCTTTTGGTGTTTTAGTCATGAAGTCCTTGCCTAGTCCTATGACCTAAATGGTTTTGTCTAGGTTTTCTTCTAGGATTTTTATGGTGTTAGGTCTCATGTTTGCATTTTTAATCCATCTGGAGTTAATTTTAGTGTAAGGTACCAGGAAAGGGTCCAGTTTCTGTTATCGGCACATGGCTAGCCAGTTTTCCCAACACCATTTATTAAACAGGGAATCTTTTCCCTGTGTTTTTGTTAGGTTTGTCAAAAATCAGATGGTTGCAGATGTTTGGCATTGCCTCTGAGGCCTCTGTTCTGTTCCATTGGTCTATATCTCTGTTTTGGTACCAGTATCATGCTGTTTTGATTACTGTAGCCTTATAGTATAGTTTGAAGTCAGGTAGCATGATACATCCAACTTTGTTCTTTTTGCTTAGATTGTCTCGGCTATGCAGGCTCTCCTTTAGTTCCATATGAAGTTTAAGGTGGTTTTTTCCAGTTCTCTGAAGAGGGCCATAGGTCTTAATTCAACTTTAAATGAATTTTAATCAGAATTTTCCATCTCAACGGAAGTTTCATAGCAAGTGTGAGACCTTAACACTTCAAATTTATGAATGAATAGGAGAGAGTACATGGTGCTGAAAGAATCTAAGTCTGGTTGATTACTTACTTTATTTTCACCTTATTTCTACACTACAGAAGTAGAGACTAATAAGTATTTTCCCTTACATGGAATATAGAGACTATGGAGAAAGCCTCTTCTGCCCACGTCATGACCTGGGAGTTCTTGGCCAGGTGCCCTCAGCATCTTCCCCCTTTCAGCTGATTCCAAGCCTTCCCCCAACATTTTCCCTCATCTTCATGGCATATGGAATGCTTGACAGACTTCCTTATTTGTAGTGTGTATACTTGCATACATGTGTACATTATTGTAGAGGGATTGGTGGGACTCAGAAGAGGCAGGAGCATGGGGACAATTAAGCGTCAGGTTCAAGAAGAGCACACTCAGTTTTTCCTGGATTTCATGACAACTTTCTTGGTTTTTTGTTTTGAATTTTTTTTTCCTTTTCTTTTTCTTTTTTTCTCTATCTTTCTTCTGTCCTTTCTTCCTTCCTTTCTTTTTTAATTTTCTCATTTATAGTGAGATTCACTAAGTTTTTAAGGTGTTCCAGCTTCCAGGCTCACATTGCCAGGACTAAGTGAATCATAGTTTCTGCTTTTGTGGCACTCAGAATTAGGTGAGAAAGACAGACCTAGAAAAAAAAGTTACAAGTGATTATGTATTTATTCACTGTGATTAAGAACAAAGAAAAATTATAAATGCAGTGGTTTGTTTTCTGTGATCTCCCAAACAAGGCTGTGAGTAGTTCAAAGGAAAGCAATGCATCAACTTCTTTTTGCAAGATCTAGAATTAAATATTAAGAGTAGAAGAGAACTATCTGGTTTGCCTCAGGTCCTCAAGTGTTATAGACTAGGAACTAAGGCTCTAGGAGATTGACAGAATTGTGAAATGTCACAAAACTTGTTACTGATAGAGTCAGGGAAGACTACCAAGTCACTTCTCTCTTCATTATACCAACACCCTCTTTCAAATGATACAAAGTAATTTAACATTTTTATGTATTATTTTTCACATTTGGTCATCTCTTATAAATACTTTATTTAAACTTGATAAACAATTTTACTTTGAAAGCAATTACCATAGTTCTGAATCATTGGTCTAATGCCCAAAGTGTGTAGTTTTTCAGTATTCACATTTAAATTTAGTGTTTAAATTATGTTATTCATGTTTTCTATGCCCCTTAAAAATAATATTCTTCTTTTATCAGTCCTAATTTAGTACAGTAACTTTGGTGAATAATCTGGGATTACATTTATAACTGAAGTTTTGCTGCAAGTAAACAATTCAATTTCAGTAAGTGGAGATGTTTTGAAGTAAAGATGACATGACTGAGAAGGAGGGCTTTTCTTGTGAGGAATGGACAATGGCAAGAAGGAAAATGGGCTCTGTCATCTAAGCCTACTGTGGCCATTAAATGACCTGAGTCGTTAAATCCAAGGCTTCATAAACAATTCTTATAGAGGTGAATCTATTGCCAACTTGACAATTTGTTGCCTGTCATACATCAAAATATTACACAAATGTCAGAATATTAAAAGGGAAAGAGAAGAGGGAAAGCATCTATTCCCTGAATGAATCTCTGAGTCCATCCTCTTTTCTTTCATGTCTTCCCTTCTGCTGCAGTTCTTAGGATACCGTACAAGAAGCAGAGTTGATCTTCTGAGTTTCTTTCTCTTGTTCAGTTTTCCTTATCCCCTAATCCCAGTGTTCACAGTGACCTTTGGAGAATCTGCTCCATCCTCTCCAGTTTTGTAGCATCTCTCACTCTCCCGTAGAACAAATGCTACCTCCCTTTACATACTCTATGTATTCATATACTTTGGGCCTTTGGCAATTTCTGCTTTTGGTTTGGGGTCTATTGGGTATTCATGGCTATAGTGGTTTTATCACATGAATGCATTTTACCTGATTTATACTCTGGTTTTTGCCTTACTTCGAAAAAATAACCTCCAAAGAGGTGATAGCAAAAATGAAGAATTCAGGAAAAAAGATACAGGAAATAAATTTGAAGGGTATTTCTGAGACCCATTACATCACTATATGTAGGCAGTAACTTTTCTAATTCTTAGTGAATTAAAGGTGCTATTGTTTCACTGGCTACTTCCTCCATTCAATTCCTCCACCTTAGTTCCAAACCTCATTATTTTGCCTTCATTATGGTATCAGACTCCAAACTCTTTGTTTCCCTTAGAGTGTTCTGTGGGTCACCAGTCTCTAAATCACCTAAGGTGCTAGTTAAAATTGTAGATTCCTGCACTCAGCTTCAGGCCTGCTGAATCATAATTTCCTGGGATGGGGCCTGGGATTTATGTAAATAAGCAGTCCAAGTGACACAAGTTTTATCACTGATGGATTGATTCATCAGGAAGCTACTGTTTTCTAGACATTATATCGAGTAAATCATGCCAAAACAGATACGTTTCCTGTCCTTATAGAGTTTACAGTATAGTAGCTTATGACAGACATTAAACAGTTGGCACACAGATACTTTTATAAGGGCAATGTGATGAATACACGAACAATAAGACTAGAGTGTAGAAGTAAGGAAAAGGTCAAACTGCTTTCATAGAGAATTATTTGAGAAAGTAATATTTAAATATGATAACTGAAGGATGAAAAGGTGCTAGCTGGGTGAGGAATGTAGGGAAATTATTTCAGGGAACAGAATTTAAAACTTTCAGCTTGGAAGACACTGGTTTTCTCAAACCAGCTGAAAGTAGGCCCAATTACTAAAGAATCAAGAAGGAGGATGAGAGTTGTGTGAGATGAGTGGAATGATGATAAACTATTTACCCTGTTAATAGATTGCTCTGGCAACTATGAGAAAGATGTGTCAGAGGGGGTCATATAAACACAGGTCAAAGGCAGAGACTCAGATCAAAGGCAGAGAACTAACAGTGGTTCGACTAGAGGGATGGCCTGGGTGCAGACAGATTTTAGATAAATTTAAGAGATAGAATGAGCTATTTTAGACATGAACAAATTTCTCACCTGCCAATGAAGTTATTATTTTGCCATTTAATGAGTTGGTAAAGACTAGGAAACTGACAGGTTATTAAAGGGAAATCTAGAGGTTAGATATGGACATGTTAAGTTTGAAATGACTATCTCTTCACCGTCACTCTATTACCCACCCTGGCATCATTATCCTCCTTCATTCCCTCTGTTCCTTCAGTTTCACATTGCTTGCTCCTGTCTCTGATATTTAAGTGTGTACATGGGAGGTCTCTAGTTTGAGAATCATTTCTCTACATTGAACTGCTAATACATTCCAAAGAGCAGTATGTTCTTGTTCGCCATTTCAGTTTGGCACCTTTGCTTCCTTGTCCTAAAATGATATTAATCCCATTTTTCCATGTGAGCAACTTCTATTATTATATTGAGATCAATTTCAAATATTTCTGCTATGGATTCTATTGTGTTCTCCCCAAGCAAATGCCATTCCTCCTTTATGCCATTATTTTTCTTTGGCTCTACTTTTTGTAGAGCTTCTATCATATTGTTTTGACATGTTTGGTGCACTTGTCTTTTCTTCACTAACACTATATAACTGGATACTGGAAGCAGACTTTATTAGGTATTTTATAGAGAAAGGGGTCTCACCATCTTGCCCAGGCTGGTCTCAAACTCCTGGACTAGAGGTATCCTCCTGCCTCAGCCTCCAAAAGGGTTTGGATTACAGGCATGAGCCACTGTGCCTGGCTTCTGCAATCTTCTTATGAAAACAATAACCTTCCAACTCTGAAAGCAGTAATATGAAAGCAGAAAATGAACTAAAATTGGTAAGGAGACTGAGAAGAGTGTTTACATTCCATAGCAATCTGAAAGTTTTAAAACTCCTCTTTTAGGTATATCGCTTTTTCTATAAGCTTTCTACCTCCTCTAGTAGTAGCCACATATTCCTTTCTCCTTATTTTTCTTCCTTCTCAGAAGAAATTGGCTTTAATTTTCCTCTTTGCAGTCTCTCTCTATATTTCTACACTCATGGTATTTAGTCAACAAGACAATCATTTGATAAAAACATGATGCAAAATAAAAATTCTGACTTTAGCCATAACTTCAAACATCTGTATTTATTTAAGCATAGCTTTGCACAGTGTTACGTGCCACTAAAGAGAAGCGTGTTGTATTATAAAATAGTATAATGATGATTCATAAAGTAGTTTGGCAATTAAGGAAATGCTGACTTTGAACAGATCACATTCACATCGGATGAGCAGAATGAGTAAGAAATATTTGACACATCTTGAAAGCAAGATTTTGGCAAAGTTAGTTTGATGGAGGCAAATAATTCAGGTAGAGGAAATTGCATTTATGAAGCCCCTATAGTTGCATGAAAATGATAATTTCAAAGACTGAAAGAAGATAATGTGAATGAAGCTCTAATTTTCAAGGTAGTGCCGAAGGTGAGACTACTTAGAATGATAGAGTCTATATCACATAGGACCTTATGGCTCATGTTTAGAATTTGGAGTTTAAGCACAAAAGAAGCCATTGAGTTGTATTAATCAGAGAAGGGATTGACAAAATTATATTTACTTTCTACAAACCTCATTCTAGTGTGGAGAACTGACCAGAGGGGCAAGGCTGCCTCTGGGAAACTTAACGGGGTTCTTCCAGGATTCCTGGTGAAATATGATAGTGACCTAGAAAAGGATGATGATATTTAAGAAAGATGGCAGGTTTAAAACACATTTAGCAGACAGAATCAACTGAACTTAATGATTAATTGGCTACAAAGATTCACAAGGTGGCCAAGACAAGGATAAGGATCAATTTCTGTCTTGGGCACATTGGTGATGTGCCATTTATAGAGACTGGTGCCATGAAGGGGTCATGACTGAAAAGTAAGATGATAGGTTTAGATGGGGTGTGTTTAGTTTGAAACACATGTGAATCATTCAATTTGAGTCATTGAGAAGGAAATTCAAGCTATAGACCTGGCACTAAAGGATGAGGATTGAGCAGAAGAAATAAATTTTGAAGTCATCAATATAAAACTAGCACCTGAAGCCATAAGAATAGTTGCAATACCTTATAAAGTTTACAGTGAGAAGAGAACCTACTATTAATCCTTCAGTTATTTGATTTTTTAAAAGATGAAAGAGGATAGCATAATATGAACATCAAACAATAAGCAGGAACACAAACCCCATCTGCTAGTCTTCAGGTTCTTTAGGAGAATAATTTGGGAAAGTCATATAGAGCTATTTGTCAAGATCATTTACCACTTGTATCTTATATTGATGACCAAATACATTTTTAAATGCATCCACTGATATTTGATTTTAATTGACAGCATGAAACATGGGGTGAAATACAACTTGTGATTATGAAATTAGCAACTCACCAAGATTTGGTCAGAGAATGATAGTAGACAAAACTCAAGACAAAAAGTACTGAGCCAAGAATCAAACTCTTATCAACTGCTGGGGCACTTGTCTTAGCCTCTTGGGATGTAAATGTTCTTGTCTTTTAATTGAGATTTGGAGTTGATTCTAATAAGTGATTCTGTGATTAACCATAGAGTACTTAGCCTCAGGCCACTGGAAACACCTTTGTACCCAGCTATAGAAAATCTAACCCATAGCTTTGATCACCTTGGTCAACTCCATCTTGATTTTAGCTCAGATATCAAGGTTAATGTTTATTACTTCCTGGCTTTGTGAGTAGAAGGCATGGATCACTTGAAGCATCCATGAACATGAAGTCTGCTTTCACTCCCTCACATTCCAGCCTAAGTAATGACCCAAGAACAAGTACCTTTTTTTTCTTTAAGACTAAGTCTCACTCTGTTGCCCAAGCTGGAGTACAGTGGAGTGGTCTCAGCTCACTGCAACCTCTGCTTCCCAGTTCAAATGATTCTCCTGACTCAGCATTCCAAGTAGCTGGGATTACAGTGTGTGTCACCATGCCTAGCTAATTTTTGTGTTTTTAGTAGGGACGGGGTTTTGCCATGATTGGCAAGACTGGTGATGAACTCCTGACCTCAAGTGATCCACCCACTTTGGCTTCCCAAAGGGCTGGGATTATAGGCATGAGTTCTATAAATGAAAGGAAATTTCCACTCTTGTTTCAAGTTTATTGCTTCCTTTTGGTTAGCAGGATCCAACTAGATCATCTCTCACATTCAAACAGCATAGGAAATATATACACCATATATACAAGTAATATTCTAAGGATGGAGATAGATCATAAAGGTATAAACATTTACTTAAAGATTAAGTTAAAAATAACTATTTCTCCTCCCTGTTTCTCTTAATGCTGCCCTCTATTATTCACAATCCCCTCGTTAAAAATGAAAAAAAAGGACTCTTAATGCTTGCTAGATAATGATTCCACCTCCAAGATCAAGAAGCAAAGAGCACACGTGCTTTATAGAGAAGATAACAATTTATTTAATCATGTCTCAACTCTCCTGCTTTTGTTTTGTTATGTGCAAGGAGCACCCACACAAACCCTTGATATGAAGCTTTCTACCATCCAGAAAAATAGAGCTTGGGTCTCCCTGCATGTTTTTCAGTTTAGCAATTCACCTTGAAAAATCAGATTTAATTTTAATGGTGTTGTTCTATAAAAATATTTTACAACAGAAATTAAAGTACCTTTAGACTCATCTAGCCAAAACCTCGTTTCAAAGGGTGACGTGGAGACAGAGAGGTGAGGTGATTTGTCCATAAAGCACATATAGCTGGTTAGTAGCAGGACTGCAACTAGAATACAGTCCTGTGAACTTCCTATTATAATGCATAACTCAGGATGGCTATAAGATCACTAAACATAAAGCATTATAAGCTTTTGCTTTATGTGCAAAAACTGCTGAAAGGAGAACAATGAGTAACAGTTTAAAAACATTCCGCTCCCCAAGTGTACAATATGCATAATGTCAACTTGGTACAGTTAACATAACCTTCGACTTTTGCTCAAGTTTAAGGTAAAAAACCAGCATGCACTTCTGAGAGCTATTGACTAGAAGATGAAGATAAGATAATCTTGTGTAGAAAATTTTAGCTTTGAAATTAACTACATTTTACTTGCTGGGTAAATAAAAGTGGGTGCATAGAGGAAAATAAAAGACTTATTGTTTGGACTTCTTAAACAGTTTGACATTTTAATACCTTTTGTTCTCTGTGATTTTTAATGCTACATTTTATTTTAGTATGAGCTAACATTAGTAACACCTGAAGGAACATTCTGAATTATCTTGAGGACATTTCTGCAAAAGATGAAATAAAATACAAATAGTTTTGTAAGACATGCAATGGCTGTGCTTAGATTATTTTTCTAAGCACAGCAGTCCTCAATTCTGCTCATTTTTCCCTTTCCTGTCTTCCATAACCCTTGCCTTCTCCTCTCTTCTTTTTCTTTCTCCTTTCTCTTTCCAATGAATATATGTGCACCATGTATTGAAGGATCTGGGGACTTCTTTTTTTTTTTTTTTTTTTTTGAGACAGAGTTTTGCTCTTGTTACCCAGGCTGGAGTGCAATGGTGACCTCGGCTCACCGCAACCTTTGCCTCCTGGGTTCAGGCAATTTTCCTACCTCAGCCTCCTGAGTAGCTGGGATTACAGGCACATGCCACCATGCCCAGCTAATTTTTTTTTTTTCATTTTTAGTAGAGACGGGGTTTCACCATGTTGACCAGGATGGTCTCGATCTCTTGACCTCATGATTTACCCGCCTTGGCCTCCCAAAGTGCTGGGATTACAGGCTTGAGCCACCGCACCCGGCCAGATCTGGGGACTTCTTAGGGAAAACTAATAAATATCAAAATTTAATCAGAGTTGTTTTCACTTTAACCAGCAATCGGGGTCTGGATAAGAGGCTGGAAAACCATAGGCTATGAAACCAGCTGTTCTCCCATTTTGCTCCCTCTCTTAGGAGGCAACAATATTGAATTCAGGCCAATTAATGACCCTGCAATGGCCTCTGAGCTGTTCAAGTGAAGAGAAAAGTCTCATTTTAAATAAAGAACTAGAAATGACAAGCTTAGTGAAGAAAGCATGTCAAAAGCTGAGATAGGCCCAAAGCTAGGTTTCTTGTGACAAACAGCCAAGTTGTGAATGCAGAGGAAAAGATGTTGAAGGAAATTAAAATTGTTACCCTAGTGAAGACATGAGTGATAAGAAAGTGAAACAGATTTATGGCTATATAGAAAAAGTTTCGGTGGTCTGGGTAAAACATCAAACCAGCCATAACACAAAAGTGCAAGGTTCAGAAAGATAAATATAGCATATTCTCGCATATACGTGGGAGCTAAAAAAAAAAAAAAGGTGCATTTTATGAAGACAGAGAGTAGATTGATGGTTACCAGAGGCCAGGAAGGGTAGGGTAGAGAAGGTGGTGAAGAGAGGTTGATTAATGGGTACAAATACAGTGTTAGACAAAAGAAATAAAAGAAATAAGCCTGTGTGTTTGATAGATCAGTAGATAGATATCTACAGTTAACAATAATCTAATGTACATTTCAAAATAGAAGAGAATAATTTAAATTTTTCTAACATCAATAAAAGATAAATATTTAAGGTGAGGGATCACAAGTATTCTGATTTGATCTTTACATATTATATGAATATATCAAATTATCACATGTGCCCCAAAATATGTGCATCCATTATGTACCAATATAAAAGTGCAAGGTGAAATACCAAGGACTGCTGTAAAAGCTGCAGCAGATTATTCAGAAGATCTAGCTAAGATAACTTTTGAAGGTGGCTACACTACACAAGATTTTTCAATGT